AAGAAGCAATTATTGAGAGAAATAAACATAAACTAGGTACCTAAATACTTTGAATTCTGTGAACGTTCATATTGAGTGTCGAAAATTTTACGCTATCGTCACCCTAATATAACAAGGTTGTATGTAAAAAAAACCGAAAAATTTAAGTCTATGTTTCTACAGGATTATACGTGGCCTACGCTTCACATACCACTTAAAAATAATTCTATAGAATGTATATTCTATGTATACATATATATATAGAGTTATTTTCAAGTTGTATGTAAAGGGTGGATTACATAAAACCTTGTAGAAGCATAAACTCAAATTTTTCGGTTTTTTAACTTACAACCTTGTTATATTAGGGTGACGCTATAGCGTACTACAAAGATAATTATCTTTGGCGTACTATAGTAAAATTGCAGCAGCAAAACGTCGCCTTGAAGAGACTGGACCTTCAACGTCATCAACTGTACCTCGTAAAAAAGGGAATGATGTGTTTGATTTTAAAATATTGTGCTTATTTTGTGGTGAAGTCGCAGATGAGGCAACAAAGGCAAAAAAATTTGCAAAGTACAAACGGTACAATGGAGAGTGATGATGAGAATGAGTCTAAAATTGCTGGCCAACCTGAAGAAGACGAGGATGAAGAAGATAAAGATTAATAATAATAATAATAACAATATTGATATAAATAAAAACATTTTTTCCTACTCCGATTCAATTATCCTTCATTAAAATTAAATTAAAATATAAGATATATGATAAAATATATTTGATTTTAAAGAATTATAAATATAGGTAGGTATAAGGTATTAAATTTTTATTTTAGTAATATTTATTATATAATTAATTTAAAAAAACGGTATAATAGATTGGGATTCACGATTTACCTTGCGCTAAAGGTACGTATGGCTGAGCGCTCCACACTCTGCGCCCTCTATCTCAAAAACGGTTCGACGTATAAAAAAATTTTGTTTACAAAATTTGTAGAGAATTTTATTTTCTACAACTCTTATAATTAATGCAAATACGATAGGAGGCAGAAAAAACGAGATATTCTTAAAAAACTGATTTGTGCGACCTTTGACCTTGAATATCTAAGGCCGCTCACACGTTGGCATATGTGACTTTTGAGACAACATTTGTAATGCTAAAATAAAGGTTTTCACAAAAATTCAGCTTATTCCGTTAGATTCCGAGGTTGATCCCTTTTTTTGACTAAGATGACTGTACTATTATTTAATTAAAAAAACGACATAATAAATTTTCAATCAATTTTCATCCTTTGTATACGCCAAAACAAGAAAGTTTTTCCTCCATCATTTTTGCATTAGTCACTGTTTTTTTTTTAATAAAAAAATTATGAATTTTTTTTGACAAAACCAAAACAGTGATATTATTCATCCAAGCAAAAAAGAAACATGTATGCGCACAGTGTTTTATGTAATATTAACTTATCAAGCAAACTTTACTGACAGTTATTGTGGTTTCTCTTGGGCTTCATTAACAGTTTAGTGTACCAGAGTACCAGAGAGAACAACTCCGCGAACTTGTCACTGCGCTGTCAACTTTGTGTGTCAGTGTGTGGGGGTGTGTTGTGGAACACTTAAAAAAAATAGCTACATGAGCATCAATCGACGTAAAAAGTAAAAGTTAAAATTAAAAATCGACGGGAAAACCACGAAAATCTTGAGATAACAATAACAATAAAAATTAAGTATTGTTTTATTCAAAGTACCTAAAAATAGCTGAGTAAGCAAAACAAAAAACAATTATCAACAAAGTAATCAATGATAACAGAAATATAAATTTTTAATGTAGATTATTGCCCACTGTGCAAGCATATTTTGCATCAGTTGTCCATAGGTCAGGAACAAGCAGTGGCGGCCCAAAATTTGTACTTTACTTAGCGTCCAAAAAACGATTTCTGAAAAATTTGGTCACAGATTCGTGATTTGAGCCACAAAACTTTGGTTGCATATTTTAATTTCTCAAAAATTATCAGCCCATTCGATTTAGAAACTTTTTTGTCTCTTGAAGTTTTTCCGTAAATCGCACTGTTTTGTGGTTCCAAAGCAAAGGGGGCCTACAAAAAAGCATCTTAAGGGTGTCCCGGACCAAAAACCGTTACACAAATTCCACATGTAATTAAATCCCTGTATACCAAATATAGTAATAAAGATAACGGTACCCTACTCGAGTGTGTATAAATAAGTGTGTTAGTTTTTTTTACGTGTTTACTGAAGCGGTTACGGTCCACGGTTTAGTAAACTGTGCCCCTTCACGGTTCAGTCAACCTTAGCTTATAATTAGTATAAATATGGTAGATTTAGCAGTTAGATTTAGTTACACTTCGCTTCTGAAGATACCAACATCGTTGACGAAAAGTACTTTAAGCACTTTGTGTTTTGTTTTGGTGTTGGGGAATATTTCTAAAAATTTTTAAACATATTACAACTTTGGTCCTTTTTCAAGTATATTGTCTTGGTCTTTATATATATTTTTTTTGGGTTTAATAGTTGTACGCCACTATGTAAGCATGTTTTGCAAATATTTTTAGGTCGCTGCTTACGAATTTGATAGCCATTTTACAAAAAACAAATTGGCGGATCCAAGATGTGTGTTTGTGCGAGTTTTGCAAAAAATAATTAGTATCTTTCGATGATTTCGATTACGAGTTTGATATGCATTTTTTTAAAAACAAAATTGCTGATCCAATTTGGCATCGCGTGGTCTTTGCGGTCGCTGATTACAAATTTGACATCCATTTTTTTTGATGTTCTGATATTGATTAAATTTGGCACCATGTGGTTTTTAAGGTCGCTAATTACAAAGTATATCTAGATTAATATTTTTTTCTTTCTCACGGTAAACTTAATGTGTTAACATCCATGGTCAAGTTTAAAATTAAAAAATTGTGAAGAAAATTCGCATAAATATAAAAAATGGTAGGACAAAGTAGCACAGTAGTTACGAATTCATTATTAAAACTTATTGTCAAAATTATTAAAATTTATTGTGTAAAATTCATATAGAAAAAATTTACAAAATGGGAAGACTAATTCGCACAGTAGTTAAATTCTTAAAATTTCGAAATGTTGAAATACAAATAATAGGACAAATTCGCAGCAGGTAAATTTTCAAAATTCAAAATTTTTAGCATAGATTTTTAGAGTTAGGTATATGAAGCGATGCCTAAAAAATATAAACATGTTCCTGGAACGGTGTATCAAAGAAATTATGGGGGCCGAGGATGGCGCAGAGGGTTGACCCACAGAGCTGTAAGCAATCTGCGTCTAACGGTGCCGGGTTCGATTCCCGGTCACAGCCTTGGGTGTTGTAGTTGTTTATTAAACGAAAATAAATATCATGAGCTGGCTAAATAGTCGTAAAAAGACTAAAAGTCAATAAATCTAATAAAAAAAAAAGAAATTATGAATCAGAAAATATTGAATATCACCCTGGCAAAGGTGATAAACAATCGTTTATCCTTTGAGCAGGTTGCTACCCACTTTGATGTTCCCAAAACCAGTTTAAACAGTAAATATAGAGGAAAGTATTATGATGGCCTTCTGCCTTAAGTGAAATCAAAGTAAGGTATATAACAAGTTTAATGGTTACAGCTGCGGATCTCAACCACAAAAGTTAATAATTAGTTGTTTTAAAGAAAACCTTCCATCCCCACGCTCCAATGCCTTTGGGTATTAGGAGTGCCAGAATTTATTTTTTATACATTTTCTCCAAAAGAATAAATAATTGTACTTCTCTCCTGAAGCACCCTGTAGGTATATTTGATATAAATTTTTGTATGGTTAACCCATTTTTAAGTATATTTTCTATAAATTGTGTCAAAAAAATAATGGTAGGTACTTTTCTTCTTAAGCATTTTTATGTTATCCCAATTTATTAACAATTTTTTGACAAGCAGAATTTTTTATAAAGAATGACTTTTTGTCGTAAAATTAAAAATAAACATGTTTCCTCTTGTCAACTCCATCTGTGGACACATTGTATTTTATATAAATTATATATAATAATCTAGATATAATTATATTAAATTATATAAAAAATACATGTTTATATATAATTTTATATAATTATACCTATATGTTTTAACCCTGGGCTCTAAAACAAAAACTAGTTTTTTTCACATAAAAACCTATGCCAAAGCTGTATTAGCAGCTAACTCCTATTTATATATAACTCTTGAAACTTTTTACTTAGCCCTTACTTTAGAAGAACTGTACAGTGTACAAAGCTGATTAAATTTTTGTTCAAGTAGGTAGGTACCTATCTTGAATCAAGACTATTTCAAAAAATTTTAAACACCCTGTAAAATATGCTAAAATCTGTACAAAAAAAATATCCAAATTATGCAAATTTATATGCATATCAAGGCGCATATACTTATCACACTGTGTAGGTATAGATTAAATTTATTCTCCATTAGAATACACAAATAATTTTATGTTTTTTATTTCATGAAATGAATTCATGTACCTGAATATTATAATAATAATTGTTTGTGATCTGCATTGTTCCATAGATACACTTGTAAAACTCATGGGCCTGAATATTGTAAAAACTTGTAGTATCTGGGGATGTAAATAAAGAATTTGATTGATTGATTGAAATATTAATAATTAACAAATTCAACAAGGTGGGTCCTCTGCATACACATTTTTAATGAATTTATAGTTGCACACATGGGTGTAGCCAGAATTTTCAGCAGGAGGAGCAAAAGAATCTGGACTTAAAAGGAACGTTCCTGGGTCTTAAGAAAACAAGTAATTGTAATTTAATTAATAATTTTTTGATGGATAATTGAATTAGCTAATAATTTAGAAGTGTCCATGCCAATATTTTTTTTCCAGGGCTTCCATAACAGACTACGCCCATGGTGGTACAACAGTATATGTGTATTATATATAATACACATATATGTTTCACAGAATATTGCTTGGAGTTAAAATTAGTATGTATTGGTATAATCATGATTAACAATATAAGTATCTTACTTTAGGAATATCTAAGAGTCCATCTAATCTTTGAACACCTATCTTTGGGTTGGCTCGTAAGGCATCAAAGATAGTCTGCACTTTTTGCCTAGTTGAATCGGAGACTTTATGTCCATGACCATTTGACAATAAAGCACTGCCTGACTGGAATACCTGACTAACTGAGCCACCCATAATTAATATGAAGTTACCAAAATATCCTAATCATTAATATAAAATCTGTGCCTAAAACATTTAACTAGTCTAAGCTAGTTCTTCTGGGTAAATAGAATCCAACTTACAATGTTTTATAAGATTCATATCCATCATGTTTACAGCTTTAATAAATATAAAGTAAAAATCTGTCAATTAATGCTCATTTAGGTTAGTAAAATTATATTTGCGTATGTTAACCATAGATAAACAATGATGTAAACCAGCAGATTTGAACTGTTTTGTTTATTTTCCGAACTATGAATATTATTTATTACTCCAATATTTTAGTAAGTTATTTTTAATAATGCGCACAACTTCTGTTATTGAATCAATAAATTGCGCGCCCTCTGCCTCATAGAAAAAGGATGCCTTTTAAAATAAACCACACAGTTCCCGCTGTGAGTCACAGCGCTGCCAGATTTGGGGATTTTACCCTAAAATGGGGGATTTAATCTTGCTTTGGGGAAACTTTGGGGTAATGCTCATTTTGGGGTATTACAGGTTTTTTCCGAAATTCCAGAATTTTTTTTATGTTTATCTGGATTATCTAGTTAAATTTTAGCAACACTACTTTAAACAGTATAATTATGATTATTATAGTTTTATTTTTTGGTTTTATTACTAGAGCCAACTTTTTACTAACCAAACACTGTGTCATATCGGTTGCCTATGTATTCTTTATCTTGAAGTTTTTAAGTTCTTCATATAAAATCTTGAAAGGGTATTTTGGATTCTGACATTAGGCAACCAAGCTGAAACTGTTTTTACTCGCTATTTTTTTTCTAAAGTAGTATGAGTTATCTATTGTACTCAATGATTGTAGTATTCAGCACAATCCACACAACAAGGTTTGTTCTCGTACTATAAAAATACTTAAAATCACTGCAACACTGCACATAGCCATTTTTCTTGTTTACAATTCTTCTTCTTTGTGTTTGTACTGTTTATACAAATTAATAATCGTTTTAAACATAGGCACTTAATAAGTGCCACTTATAAGCTTTAAAAGAGGCCTTAAACCTGATTTATAGATTGCCTTCCTTCCTTCCTTCCTTTCTCCCGTAGAAGATGAACAATACAAAAACCGTTATGCTGTTTAAAGATTCCCGTACGGAAATCTATAAATGGCACTACAATTTTCGTATTGTTCACCGTATTCATCAAACTGTCAAATGTCAATTTTAAGGTTAATTTACCCACAAATTAACCTTAAAATTTAAGGCTTGCAAGTGCCTTTGTAAGAAACACGTTTAAAACTATTATTAAGCCTGGTTTATAGATTGCCTTTCTACCTTCCTTCCTTCCTCCCGTAAAAGAATAACAATAAAAAAATCGAAGTGTACCGGTTTTGTATTGTTCATCTTTTACGTGAGGAAGGGAGGAAGGAAGGAAGGCAATCTATAAATCAGGCTTTAATCTGCATAAACAAAGCACAAGATTTGTAAACAACAAAAATGGCAGCCGTTAAACTCTGTACAGTGTCGCAGTGATTTTTAGTATGCTCGAAACGAGATAGACCACAATCCACATACAGTAACAAGGTCTGTTCTATTTCGTACTAAAAATACTAAAAATCCTTGCAACACTGCACAGAGTTTAACGGCGGCCATTTTTAAACAACAATTGTTGTTTACAATCATAGATAACAAATGTTTACAATTCTTGTGCTTTGAGTTTGTGCTGTTTATACAGATTAATAATCGTTTTTAACGTTATGTTTCTTACGATGAGGCAACGGGGCTGAATATAACGTAGAACTTCGGTCGATTTTTAAGGTTTTTTCAAATTTTGAATCGGTAATGTTTGTTATTTTGAATTAAATTTTTTACAGGGGATTTTGGCATCCTTCCGGTATAAGTTTACGTAAAAATTATAGTCATACAAAAACTAATACTACTTTTTTTTTTCAAAGTCTGTCCGAAGTCACCCCTTAAGGTGGGGCACCCTGCTTAAAATACCCCATAGAGACCCTGTTCAAACCGATAGATATTTGTATCGGGATGTATGGTGTTTCTATAGGGTGTATCGGTTTGTATAGGACCCATAGTTGAGATTTATGGTTGTTCTATAGGGATATCCACCATTGATTTATTTGCTATCGGTTTCAATGGGGAAAATACACATAAATGTATAAATTAGTTTTTTCCCTATAGGACCCCATAGGTTTTAATAAAATTTTGTCAAATGTTTTATGGTTGCTCTATAGGGATATCCCTATATATCCTTCATTAAGTTATTTTCTATCGGTCTCAATAGGGAAAATGTAAAAGTTATGGTGTGCCTATAGGTAATTTCCTATACATTTTCTATCGGGCTGTATCCGGAAAAAACCATGGACAAATGCACATATTGAATCCGGTAGCGCCCGATAGATTATTTTGTATAGGTCTCTATGGGGTATTTTAAGCAGGGCAGCGGACAAGCGTTGTAAAATGTATATAATCGAAGCTAGCACATTCAGTGGCGACTTCGGACAGAAATATTGCTTAAAAAAAGCATAAAATTAGAAAAAAACTCATTCAAACGGAAAAGGACATTTTATTTATCAAAATATAAAATAAAATTGAACTCTGAGGATCAAAACAATAAAACAAATATATTTCTTCTTATACCAGTATTAGGTCCTAATACTAGTATAGGTATTAAACGTCTCTTATACTCATACTCATAACAATTATTGTAATCTCGAATATCTCGGAAACGGTTTATTTTATCGAAGTTTGAAAGGTACACCTTTTTAATAGTAGCCGAACTGAGTAATCGAAAAATTGCATCAAATGTTATAAAACCCTAACCTCAAAGTTTGTATGGGACAATAAGCTTAAGCAACCCCCGTTTCTACGACATTGTGTTCACTCAAACAATTGTAATAATTATGTGTAAATATGTATATTCTTAGTAAGTGACTGCTCGCAAAATATCACCTTTCCAAGTCTACCATAGTAGAACTCTTAACGTGAACGTTATCGTATGCCATGGCAGGCCCCATCGGCAACGCCTTAAACTGATCTTACAGGGTTATTTTACCCCCTTTCGGTTCTCCTACGTATCCCGCCTCTGCACAGCGTTATACCTGTGTTTGGTGGATCCGAATTTTCACCCCGGCAGGTAAATCTTCCCTGGGAGATTGTGGATGAGTGTCGATGGTTAAGGCCACTCCCGGAAAATAGTCGCCGGGCGGGGCCATACGGCTGATTAGGCTAGTGGAGTGTAGGACAAGAAGGGACAACATTTTGTTTTTTGGGGGCCTTGAACTGACCCAAAACTACCCTGCTTAAAATACCCCATATCTATATATATATATATATATATATCTATATATATATATATATATCTATAGAGACCCTATTCAAACCGATAGATATTTGTATCGGGATGTATGGTGTTTCTATAGGGTGTATCGGTTTGTATAGGACCCATAGTTGAGATTTATGGTTGTTCTATAGGGATATCCACCCTTGATTTATTTGCTATCGGTTTCAATGGAAAAAATACACATAAATGTAGAAATTAGTTTTTCCCCTATAGGACCCCATAGGTTTTAATAAAATTTTGTCAAATGTTTTATGGTTGCTCTATAGGGATATCCCTACATATCCTTCATTGAGTTATTTGCTATCGGTCTCAATAGGGAAAATATAAAAGTTATGGTGTGCCTATAGGTAATTTCCTTTACATTTTCTATCGGGCCGTATCCGGAAAAAACCATGGACAAATGCACATATTGAATCCGGTAGCGCCCGATAGATTATTTTGTATAGGTCTCTATAGGGTATTTTAAGCAGGGTAAGTACATTTGGGACTCCCCCTCAACCAGGGTTTTAGTAATAACCCCATTCAATTGGGGTCCATGAATGAGGCTTGGTTTATTAGAACGTTGCTTGAACATCCTTGCTGGTCTTGTATTTCATCCGGGTCTTTGTCCGGGTCTGCTGGAATTCGGAATCTGCTGCACAGTTGTTTGCACCATTCCCCAGTGCACTGTGCAATCCATCTTCGTTCTAGAGGACTATCAATAGATAGTATTTGGTCGGCAACCGATAGTTTTTATTTGTGTAAGTTATGTATGGTTTTCTTTGTCCTCGTTTTGTGGTTGAAATTGTGTTCCGGTTTTTTTTCTTTTCTAACAATTATCGTGCTGTTATTCCCAGTCCTACCCATGATATATATATACAAAGTATCATGAGTCCAACCCATAACCCATTTGTACGTTGTCGTTTAAGTACGCCCTACTCTCAAAAATGATTCGTTAGGAGTTATTTGACTCAATGTTCCAGCGGAAAGGCAGTCGCTAATGATTAGACAAATTTTACCGAATGCAACAGTTAATAATGGATTTGGTTTATAAAGTTTTTTTTAGAATATTTTTGGTTTATGCACTAAAGCAATCGCTGCTGAAATATTTTAAGTCGTCTAATTTAACTATTTAAGTAGAAGAATAGCTATTTATTCAAAACGACTTTTCGTTGTTTTCGTGTTGTGGTAGAAGTTGTGTGTTTTCTTTTCTTACTTAACAATTAAGAAATTGAATTTATATTTATTTTATGCTACATTTGTTTTTTTAAACTTGAGAAGGTCTCGCAGTTTATTTATTTAAGGCAAAGATTAAAATTGTTTGCTTACTTACTTAAGAATTAATTCACATAATTATGTGTTTATTAAGTACTACTTGTCACGTCCTATACGGCGGAGAGTACCTAATTTTAAGTCGAACTTGCTTTACTTTTAAGTCGAACCAGCCTATGCATTCGGTATCTTTGGTCTATTTAATGTAGGGTTCGTTAACCCTGTTCAACTATTTCAATGTTATTTCTTGTTGATTTCTACGGATTTTTTCACGTGCAAATACTAAAATACTTATCTGAATTTCGCAGATGGTTCCTTGTACCCTCGTAATTGGTCTCTTCCAGGTTCCTGCCGCGATGAACCACCTGTCCAGATGGGTGGTTCCGTGGTTCGGACAGGTAGGGTGGCAATTTACTTCGCACTTTTAACCTTTTAGATATTTTGGTTTTAAAATGCACTGATTATGCATTATGCAGTATACTTGTTTATAATTCGGAGCGGAAAGACAAACACGTCTTACCCGTGGAAGCGATACTGTCGAACTGATTAAATTTAATTGACAATTAAGTAGAAAAATGTAATTATTAACAAAAAACAATTTTGTAGAAAGATAGACTAGTCCACGTTTAGAATTACTTTGTAAATTATTTATTATATCAAATAATTAATAAGTTTTCACTGCACCACATGTCCGCTTTCTCCAACCCAGCGCATTGTTTCTTAAATATATTTAAATAATATCAAATATTTTTTCAAAGCATTTAGCATCCATAATATATAATATTATATATATATATTATATAATATATTAACATTATCTACAATAT